TTAGTGTTCATTGAATTATGAACTTGGAAATACATCTCCTCTATCCTGAGAGAGAACTTACTCTTCATTGTTACAAGACATGTTACAATACAATGAAATGGTTTCAAAGGTGTTTTGATGTCTACAGTAAGATATTGTGGCTGCCAGGATTTGTTAAGGGGTGAAGAAAACTCCACAGTCAGTAGTTATTGGCAAATCACAAATTACAGGATTTCAATTACAATCATTCAATTGTTTGTCCCTCTTTTTCCCTTCCAATGGGCTGACAAGGCATTATGTTGCCATAATACCTGCGGGCTACTGATGTGGGTTAGGTTGTCCCAGTTTAAGGGACACAGCCCTTTGAGATGTGTGACTGAGGCTGTAGGTATAAAGGGGAGTTGGAATTTGTGGTTAAAAGATTTCCTAAAGGAGCTGAAGTCATCTCCTGGGAGGTGCTGTTTTGGGGTTGAAATTTTTTTAGGTTGAATATTATTGTGGATTCCTTGGCATAGTTGTGGCTGATGTTCCTGCTTAGTCACACAGTGGTGGAGCAATATCTGGCAAGGACACATCTACTGAGAGCTTGCATTTGCCCAACAACAGTGAAGGAAATCAATGTTGATCCCAAGAAAAAATTTCAAGTTGCCTATAGAGCTCTCAGATTCTGCTTTCTTTAGTCTCTCTCTTCCTCTCTCTCTCTTTCCTATTTCTCTCTCTCTCTTTGTCTATATGTATAAAACATATAATTTCAATTTGTGCAGATGCAGAAGTGGCTGGATCCACACACATGTACGGTGAGAATTTGTGTGAGGCAGACAGAACAGAGAAAATTACCATGAAAGACAAATCTTTTGAATAATGAAGACGGTCTCAAGGAAGTGCTTATATCAATAAGCTAATATTTTAATAAAAATTATGGTGGTTTGTTGAATTGGTCTGGTACAATTACAGAGATGGCCAGAGCATTCTAGGGTGTGTGTGAAGGGAATTACATCTATACAGTAACTGTGTTATAAGAAAGTTTATTTCTAACTAAGGAACAAAAGCAGTAACAGAAGGAATAATAGAAAAGCAACAAATTACCACATGTAGTTAAGGAAAAAGCCTTCATGACTTATTTATGAATGGTTATGAACAGAGAGATTGTGAGATTTTTAAAGTGGCCATATTAGAAATGACTAGTATCAGCAGTAAAAGGTGAACCAGTTACCATTTCATGTCCCCCAGGAACCATGAGTTTTGGTGACAGAGTGGTGCAGGGGTAGGAAACTGGAAAAAAGAAATATAGGAGCAAGCCAGGTCAGAGATGTTATAGTTGTCCTGACCAAATTTTACCAATGTCATCATTCAGACAGGTCTAGAATCAGATGAGTAATTACAGGAAAATGTGGAAGATCAGGAGGGTTTGAAACTTGGAATAAACTCCTACTCCTTTTTTTCACCTGCTCCCTTTGTGTATACGGACATTACAGACAGAGAATTTAGAATGTATTCTGGAGGGACATTTTCTGCAGATATCTTAGGGGAGTTGCGATTAAGAGATAGGTCAGGGTATTAAGGGATGAATGAAGCATTTATTCATTCAACAAGCATTTGTTGGCCAGCTGACTTCTCACCAGTCACCATGCTTGTCTGAGGGCTATCAGTGAAGAAGACATGCTTCCTGTCCTCAAAGAACTGCTCATCTAATGAAGAAAGCAGACATGTAAACAATGTGATATGTGTTATAATAAAGGCTTTTATAAATTACGATGGAAGAACAGCTGGGGAAGCAACTTGTTCGCTTGTATTTTTAACATTTTCCCCCAGTTTTACTGAGGAATAATTGACAAATACAATTACATTTATTTAAAGTACACATTGTGATGATTTGATACACATATACATTGTGGAATGATTACCAACATTAAATAATTCATCACCTCATATGGTTAACTCTTTTTTGTGTGTGGTGGGAATGCTTAAAATATACTGTCAGTAACTTTCAAGTATACAATGTCATATTATTGACTATATGCTTAACGTTAGGTCCTCAGACCTAACGTTATCATGCTTAATGTTAGGTCCTCAGAACTTATTTTGCTTATAATGGAAAATTTGCACCCTTTGACATACATTTTTTCATGCTCTTATTCCCAGCTCCTGGAATCCATGTTTCTAGTCTCTGTTTTTATAAAATTGGCTTTTTTTTAGATCTCACATATAAGTGATAACAGACAGCATTTGTCTTTCTCTATATGACTTAATTCACTTGGAATAATGCTCTCCATGTTGTCACAAAAGGCAAGATTTTTTTTACATGTCTGAATAATATTCTATTTTATAAGTACATTTTACAATATCCTTTTTAAAAAAGATTTTATTTATTTATTTTTAGAGAGAGGGAAAGGGAGGGAGAAAGAAAGGGAGAGAAACATCAGTGTGTGAGAGAGACATTAATTGGTTGCCTCTCACATGCCTCCAACTGTGGACCTGGCCCACAATCCAGGCATGTGCCATGACTGGGAATTGAACTAGCAACCTTTTGGTTCACAGGCCAGTACTCAATCCACTGAGCCATACCAGCCAGGGCATATTTTACAATATCTTTATCCATTCATCCATTGAAGGGCATTTTGGTTGTTCTATACCTTACTTACTATGAATAATGCTTCAGGGAACACAGGAATGAAGATATGTCTTTGAGATAAATGATTCCATTTTCTTAGATATATACCCAGGAGTGGATTGCTGGATTATATGGCCCTTCAATTTTTAATTATTTGGGGAACTGTCATACTGTTTTCCATAAAGCCTGTACCAATTTACATTTCTACCAGTAGTGAGCAGGATTTCCTTTGATCCCCATCCTCACTAGTTCCTGTTATCTTCTGTCTTTTAGTTAATAACAAGCCTAATAGGAGTGAGGTGATATCTCACTGTGGCTTTGATTTGCACTTGCCAGATGATTAGTAATCCTGTACCTATTGGCCATTTGTATATATATATTTTTTTTTTGCAAAAATGTCTACTCAGATTCTTTGCCTACTTTTAAGTGGATCATTTGCTTTTTTATTGACTTGTGTGAGTTCTTTATGTATTTTTGATATTAACCCCTTATCACATATGTGGTTTATAAATATTTTCTTTTATTCTGTAGGTTGCCTTTTCAGTTTATTGATTGTTTCCTTTGCTGTGCAGAGATGTTTAGTTCGGTGTGATCCCACTCCTTTATTTTAATTAATTCTCCTTTAGACAGATTGTAAAGAGATGATGTTTGAGCTGAGGTCTAATGAGTGCACTTGTTGGCTATGTGGGAAAGAAGAAGAGGAGATGGGCCTGAAAGGCCTTATGGAAGGGACTCAAAAGCCATGTGAGGTATAGTGGATGTTACACTGTCTACATTGGTTAGCACCTAAAAAGTTCTTTTTTAAAAAATAATTTTATTTATTTATTTATTTTATTTTATTTATCTTTAGAAGGGAAGGGAAAGAGAGAGGGAGAGAAATATCAATGTACGGTTGCTTCTCATGTGTCCCATACTGGGAACTGGCCCCTGCTGGGAACTGGCCTGCAACCAGGCATGTGCCCTGGGCACATGTGCCCAGGCATGTGCCCAGGAATGTGCCCTGACTGGGAATCAAACTGTGATCCTTTGGTTCCCAGGGCCGAGCTCAATCCACTGAGCTATACCAGCCAGGGCCCAGCTAAAAAGTTTTTAATCAGAAAAATTACAGGATCAGATTATTTTAGTTAAAATAGCTCTATTAAGAGTATGGACAATGAATTGAACTTTGATATAGGAAAGGTTGCTGGCAATTTGAAAAAAAGAGGAAAGCTACAGAGGTTTCAGACAAAAGTGTTGCAGTGGGTTTGAAGGGGCAGATATTTCAAAAGTAGACTTGAAGATACATCTGATGTGAGGGCTGAGGGAGGCCAAAGAACAAGAGGCAATAGTTCAGAGTCTTGGCAGGAAGCTTTGGGAGGGGCAAGCTTAATAAAGTAGAGCCTGATGGGTGGTTAAACGAAAATGATGGAGAAACCAGGAAAGGAGTTTAGTTGGGCAGGTGGTGGGGAGTTGGTATCAACAATACCAGGGTCATATTTCAGGCCAGAATTTTGAGTTGGGAAGTAGGAAAGCTTACAAAACCAAGTAGAGTTCCTAACATGAGATACTTTGACAAAGGGAACCATGTAGAGAGACCTTGTTATCCCAATAGAGAAGGAGCAAAGCTAGACTAGCAGCACAGGTGACCTGATCCTGATTCCAGAGCTTTGGGCAAACTTTTATCCTTAAATTCCTCCAGCTGACAGTCAGTACTTGTTCTGCCTGATGGGAATCTCCCAAAACTTCCTAAACCCACTGAACTGAGGACCTCTCTATCTGCCTGCACTCACTTTTTATCTGCTTTGACTTTAGTCTTCTCCTGCAAACCTCCTGGTTACTTATCCATCATAATTCACCACCCACACCCTGTAGCCTTTTGAGTATACCACACCCTTGACCTCAGTGTAATCAAGGGAGGGCCCAAAGTAGCATATAGGGCATAACTCTGTGGCCAGAATGGTTGCATAGTCTATTAATCTGGGAAATGACGGATTCAAAGGTGAACATCTGAACCACTCTGGAGTTAAATTGGGGTATTGTGACAATTTCTGCCTATAGAAAAATTTAGTAACCATCATTCAGGACTCTGAAGTACCATAGGTCCAGAAGATTCACTGAGACCCAATGCTCCATAGTTCTTAAGTGTGACTTTATGAGTCTAACGATGCTCTTTTTGTTGACCTCATAGTTGTTCCTCTCACAGTGGTCTTGTTGAGGTAGAGGTATTCTCTTGCCCCACCAACATTTCTGTTCATTTTATCAGCATCTCCTAAAGTATGACCTGATTTTCTTTGTTTCTTGTAGCACTTATTTCCAAGGATTTATCTGATTTTAGGATATCCAGACAAGTCAGGGCAAAGTCTACCAGGGCTGAAAAGAACAACAGTTTGTGACATCCCATGGCGTTGACTTTTATTTATATTTATTTATTTAAAATATAGAACACTTCTCAGGTTTGTGTGTCATCCTTGTGCGGGGGCCATGTCAGTGTTCTCTGTATTGTTCCAGTTTGAGTATATGTGCCGCCAAAGCAAGTGAACGCCCACAGCATTGACTTTTAAACCTTTGTGTGTTGTCTGGAGCTGACATATTTTGTCTTTGGCTTTTGGCTTCTTGAGGGTGACTTTTCTCCTGTTCTGTGGAATTCTTGAGACATTGAGTTAGTTGTGTCCTCAATATTTGTTAAATTATTTTAATTTATATTACCCAGATTCTACCTGTTTAACTTATTTTATCATTTTTCTAATCAGGCCATCGGTTACTCTTACAGAGTGTTTTCTGGCAGTATTTCATGTATAGTCATGACTAAAACCATTCATGGAAAATTACTTGCAGTTCTTGTTACAGAATGGACTTACTAATCCTCACCTAAACTTCTTATTTTTCCCATGAAATTCATTATTATTGAACTTATTGGATGATGTATATGAAATGGCTGGACTTAAATAACACTATGGCCACAATATTGGTGCTTTAACTGATGCCAAAGTCACAAAATCCATGGTGTAGTGTTGAGAACAGTCTCAGAAATTTCACAGACTTGTGTTTGACTATTGGCTCCTCTAGTTACCAGCTCTGTCACTTAGAGCAAATTTCTTTACCTCCCTGATTCTGTCCTCTTACTTTAAAGTAAGAATAATAATATATACAGTTCATAGTTAAAGTGTATTAAATGAATTTTCTGTCAATGATGTGATTGTTTCCCTGGCAGGTGTTCAGTATATGTGAACTATTAGTATTGTGTAGTTATGAAATTACAGAATTCTTGGCTCAATATGAGGCACTCTTATTTTGATTAAATTTTTACATATGTATGTGTTTCCATCAGGAGATGAGTGGAAATGTATAGCTTCTTTTTAAGGACTTTTCCTTCAGCGGTTGACCCCTCTCCCTGAGATTATGGAAATTGTTGAGGATCCTTTTAGGGTATAGTGTGGTCTGTGGGATTTGTTTACTAATTCTAGGAGATGAGGGAAAATGTTTTTTATTTGTTTTAGGAAAAGAGTAGCTTTAGGGGGATTGTGCATGATTAATGTAAATAGGAAAATAGTAACAATTATTCTAGGTACAGTTACTGTTTGCCTCCTTTGTCTATATTCCATCTTCTCTAACAGTCACTGATTTTCATGTGGGAATTCACCAATTGCTCATTCTTACTTCATGTGGTGAGGATGGGGTTGAGGATTCTTCTGAGGATGAAGAATGTTACTTGGATATTACTAGGCAGGAGTGGGTAGAGATGTAACCTGGGATAAGGAAGAATGAATCTCAGGGTACTTGTGGGAACCCCCAGTGTAGAGACATCATTCCATGTTCTCCTCCCCCTACACTTTGAGATTTGAACTTGGAGGCATGTGGGCTGAGCTGCTGCAGCCATCTTGCAACTGTATGTCAGGAGGTTTGTCGAAAGTCTCTTTAAAATGGAGCCAAGAGAAAGGAAAGCAGAGCTGAGGGATTGAGAGACTCACTCAGTCTGGGTAATATACTTTGAGTACTGCTGGCAAGAGCCATCTAGGACTTCTCAATTATATGAAGCAATAAATGTCCTTCTGCATTTAATACAGTTTGAGTTGAGTTTTCTATTATTCAAATAGAAGTAGTACTAACTGATACAACTTCTATTTGCTTTTTACTGTGTTCTCCATTTATATGTATACATGGTTTGACTAAATACTGAGATCATTCATTGGAACAGCTGCACTGCTTTACTTTCATACCAGGAATGCATGAGGTTCCCTAAACCCACATCCATCCCTGCCAACATCTACCACTATTCAGTCTATTTCACTAGTATTTCAATGTATATTTCCCTAGTTAATAATATATTTTAGAAGCATTTGAGATCTTGCTTCCTGGCATATATCATCAGTTTGACTAAAAAAAACTACTCTTATAAAAATTCTCTACAGGAAATATAATAATAAAAATAAAAATAATAATAATGTTCTAGTATCTCTACATATATTTCTAAGCCATTTTGATTGCCTATCACATGAATTGCCCATTCAAATAATTTTTCTATTTTAAAAATATTTTTGACTTGAAGGAGCACCTTATGTATTCTAGATATTAGTCCATTATTGCTTTTAGACTTTGGAAATAATTTCTTTTAGTCTGTTATCTGTCCATTAGCTTTGTTCATGGCACCTTTCACTGAAGAGAAATCTTTAAGTTCTGTTTATTAAGTTTCACATTTAGGTCTTTATTCATTTGGAGTTTACCTTTGATGTCGTTTTATATAAAGATCCGGTTTTATTTTAATCTAGTGTGAGATAGGTTCAGAGCATTTCCCATGCATATGTTGTGTCCCTTTGTTATATACTAAGTGCCCATATGAACATGGTTATATTTCTAAGCTCTCCATTATGTTTCGCTGATCTGTTTGTTGTTGAAGTAATTTCACAGTTTTATTATTATGACTGTGTAGTATGTCTTAATACCTAGTAGGGCAAATTGTTTCCTCTTTATTCTTCTTTTGAAATGTTGACTTCATGGATTTTTGTTCCTCCATAAAAATTGTAGCCTAATCTCATCAAGATGGTGGTGTAGGCAGACATGGCTTGCCTCCTCACACAACCTCATCAAAATTACAACCAAAATATAGAATAACAATCTCTCAGGACTGTCAGAAATTCAGTTGAATGGAAGTCCAACAACTATGGAATTAAAGAAACCACATCTATCCTGACTGGTAGGAGGGATGCAGACACAGAACAGGCTGGTCTCTCACCCAGGGGTGGTGGATAAAAATTTGGGAGAGATATCTCAGGAGTGAGGAGTCCCAGCCCCCCACCAAGCTCCCCAGCCTGGGGTTCCAGTACGATAAGATAAGTCCCCATAACTTCTGGTCTCAAAAGCTAGAGGGGATTGAGTCATTGGAAGAAATTTCTGGAGCCCCAGGCAGTTCCTCTTAAAGAACCCACACATAGACTCACCAACTTATACTTACTTCCTCTCAGTTCCAGCACTGGGGTAGCAGCTTGAAAGCACCAGTGGTAGACAGGGGGAAACTTAAGTATCTGGCATCAGGGCAAGCAGAGGCTATTGTTCATTTTCTAAACCCTGCTACCATAGAGCTGGCAAGCTGGTGCCATAGCTGAGACTCCATCAACCTCACTAACACTGCTGTACCTGCCTTGGAGATCCCCTGAGACTTCACCTCACCCAGTTGATGGGCCTACCCATGCTGCTTTTCCATGTGAAGCAGCCATGGGTGGGTTTTCCATTTGACCACCCACCCATGGCTGGTCTTGGCTTATGCTTCACAACTTCCTAAATCCTTTAAAAAAAGCAACAGCTGTTCTCTGTGAACTCCAGGTCCAGCATTCATGGCAGTCAGCCTATATTTACAATGTGGTTTTCTTAGGAATCTCCAAGCCCAGCACAAGTAGCAGCCATTTCATATTGCTTTATACCTCAGAAAGGGCCCTGGGCAAAACACGAGTCGGGGCTGACCTTAGTCTGTAACACCTGGACAACCCCTAGGCCAGCACACCCAGTGGACAGTTACAGACTACATTGGAGTACCACCACCCTGCCCCTGCACAGCTGATACTCTACGGAGGGTAGAGGTTGGTGGTAAATATGTGGTCACATCCAATCCTTGCAGCTGACTGACGTGGGTAAATTCCACCCATTGATCTGCCAACAGCAACTGAGGCTCAACTACAAGAGGAGGGTGTATTAGCCCACATGAAGAGTGCATCCTGAGTACCCAGCTTGGGTGATAGATAGGGGAGGCTGTGCCACTGGACCCTATAGGATACCTACTACATTAGGCCATACTACTAAGACATGGAGTCAAAGCAGTTCTACCTAATACACAGAAACAAACACAGGGAGGCTGCCAAATTGAGGAGGCAAAGAAATACTGCTCAAATGAAAGAACAGACCAAAACAGTAAGGAAAAGGAAAAAAAAACTAAATGAAATGGAGATAGCCAACCTATCAGATGCAGAGTTCCAGACACTGGTGATCAGGATACTCAGAAAAATCATTGAGTACAGCCACAAAATAAAGCAAGAAATGAAGGTTACACAAAGTGACATAAAGAAAAATATGCAGGGAACCAACAGTGAAGGGAAAGAAGCGAGAATTCGAATTAACGATTTGGAACAAAAGGAAGAAATAAACATTACCTAGAATAGACAGAAGAAAAAAAAAACACCCAAAACAAAACCAAGGACAGGCTTAGGAACCTCTAGGACAACTTTAAAAGTACCAACATTTGAATCATAGGGGTGCCAGAAGGAGAAGAGGAAGAGCAAGGAATTGAAAATTTATTTGAAAAAATAATTAAAGAAAATTTCCCTAATTTGGTAAAGGAAGTAGACATACAAGTCCAGGAAGCAGAGAGAGTCCCAAACTGGTTGGACCCAAAGAGGACCACACCAAGACACATCATAAATAAAATGTCAAAGGTTAAAAAGATAAAGATACAATCTTAAAAGCAACAAGAGAAAAGGAGACAGTTGTCTACAAAGGAGTTTCCATAAGACTGTCAGCTGATTTGTCAAAGGAAAAATCGCAGGCAAGAAGTATTCAAAGTCATGAAAAGCAAGGACCTACTACTAAGATTACTTTATCCAGCAAAGCTATCATTTAGAATTGAAAAGCAGATAAAGTGCTTCTCAGACAAGGTAAAACTAAAGGAGTTCATCATCACTTAGCCATTATTTTATGAAATGTTAAAGGGACTTGTTTAAGAAAAAGAAGATCAAAACTATGAACAGTAAAATGACAACAAACTCACAACTGTTAACAGCTGAACCTAAACAACAAAAACAAAAATAAACTAAGCAAACAACCAGAACAGGAACAGAATTATAGGTATGGTTATCATTTGGAGGGTAATCAGTTGGTAGTGGGAAGGAAAAGAATGAGGGGAAAGGTATAGGGAATAAATAGCATAATTGGTAGGAACAAAATAGATGGCGATGTTAAGACTAGTACAGGAAAGGGAGAAGCCAAAGAACATACATGTACGACCTGTGGATATGAACTAAGGGGGGGGATTATTGGAGGGAAGGGGGAT